GACTATATTTTTTTCTCAGTGTACTTATAGCGAATTCGATTAGACGCACTCAGTGCGCACTGGTGCACATTAAAGCCATTGTACAAAAATAACGTAAAGATATGTTTATACATAAACATAGAAATCGATTAAATACTGAAATACTCAATACATTTTATTGTACTATTACGTAACATACATATTTTATAATTCGAAATATTTAATTTCGCTTTTATATTCAAATTAAATCAGTGTACAACGGCTTTAATATACACCAGTGCGCACTAGTGCTTCCAATCGAATTCGCCATTAGATAACGTCACTATTTTAATGTTTTTTCACGCAAATTTGCAGAATTATCATTTTCTTTATACAAATAATACTCATTTGATATGTATTTGATATATTCTGAACGTTTAATTTAATCTTATTGTCTGCGTTGTTATTGCAAAAAGCTTTCTATCCATTTGTCACAAATTTGAATGTTTTTTTGGAGAATTTAAAACGAGCTTTGTGATTTAATCATATGCAGCTGACAAGATCACGTTTATTTTAAAAAATAACAATGATGTCAGGAAGCATGCATTAGCATGTAAACGAAATCGTCAATTTAAAATTCTTCATACGCCAATTTACATCAATCGATTAGTTTCTTATTTCTGTTCACGTAATGATCAATCCATTTTTTACGCGATTATCAGAGCCAGCTGTAAATGCACACGAGGGACGCACATTATCGACCGAGCTGCAACCACCCGCGCCATCCTCAGACGAGAAGGAAGGCTATGCTACAATCTATATAATTAATTTATACGCTATAAAAAATAGTAGCAGCAATTTATCGGAGGAAATGTTTCAAAATGAAGTCATAGAAAAGTTACCTGACATAATAGGTGAGTATAAATCAACGAATGACATATGATGTCTCATATCTCATCGGCGTATCTTTTCATAAATTCCATTTGACGTTTATTATTTGTAAATTAACGAGTACCTTGCAAGAAATGATAAGCAAGAGCGAATGAAGCCAAGAGAATTCTTAGAAGAGATTTGAATAAAAAATATGTGCTTGCAGAGCCACTAGTTTCTGTCATCCTAGTAGAAGAAGATGATGAAAGTGAAGAGTCAGAAAATCATCAACCTGTCGATCTCGACAAATTTGCGGCGGGATTGCAAGACGAAGGTTTCAAGGTCGACAAGATCGATCTTAACAGTAAAACGAAAGTGCTTAAGATGAAATTGGAAAAGGCGGAGGCACAGAGTATGATAGATTCAGCTTTGAAGGGTGATCAGAAGAAATTCCGTCAAAAGAGGTCCTCCTGTATGAGTTGTAGAGGACATGGTAGGTATTCGAGCGAAAGTGGATATTATCCAGGTGATGGCGGTGGAGGGGGATGGGGTAGGTATTCGAGCGGGGGTGGATATTATTCTGGTAATGGTGGCGAAGGTAAGTCATAATCATAACTGCAAAGGGAAGAAGTATATCTAATCGACGAATGTCGGCAAATACTTATCTATTAACTTCAGTGTTGAAGTATGCCTGAAATCTTTGTACTACAGACATTTTACCAACTTAAAACTAACTTTTTTCTAAATAAAAAATTAGTATTAAATAGGTATAAAATTTTCGGAAAAATAAGCTGTAAAAAATAAATGACAGAAAATTGGCTATATAACTACTTTATATATCAGTAATAATAGTTAGAATGCATATAGTGCAGAATTTGCATCAAAATATTGCATTAATTGTTGTAAAAATGAACAATTTGCTGTGCATATTTTTCAGAATTGAAACGCATGTTCGATTAAATTGATTTTCCTTTTGATTCCTTTAGATACGACAATTATTGCATATTTTCCTCAATTTTTGCATGTATTATGTTAAATAAAAAATAAATTATCACAAATGAGAAATGAATTATTAATGGCATACTCCTGCATCGCAGGTATTTTCAAGGAACTCGTTTGAAAATAACGCTTAAACACTAATGACAATTTCAGGATGCAGCATCGAGCGAATTGAAGGAAGGAAGAAGCTATATAAACAATACTTATTTTTTTAACTAATAAAATATTAAATAAATAGTATTAATAGTAACAATAATCATAATATTAAATAATCTCTTATATATAAGAAAAATATAAATTTTAATTAAAACATTAATTGACAGTAACAAAAATTTTTTGCTCGCTTAGCTTTTTTCAGCTGAAATTTTGCAATTTATAATAACAATAATAAATATAACGTCTAAAAAATATCACGTGTCTAAAAAATATCCTAATTATATATTAATATACATTGCTATTGCTAAACTCCATCATAATTGCGCATAACAGGGGCATGCTTTGTCTAGGGCAACAAGGTTCTGCAGCAGTGATACCAGTTTTAGTTGTACCTGTTTCTACAGGACACCATCATCATCATGGTCATCATGGTCATCATGGTCATCATGGCCACGGCTGTTGCGGGTAATATTCTACAACTGATCAATACTTGTATGCGGTTTCAATACTTTGTATGGTAATATTTTGCAACTGATCAATACTTGTATGGTATTCATTATAGATCTATACTTAATTCTTTATTAAAATTTATGATTCTGAAATTATTGCTATTTATTTTTCTACATTTTAAGTGGTGGCGGATATGGTGGTGGCGGATATGGTGGTGGCGGATATGGAGGTGGAGGTGGGTATGCTTCTGCCTCCGCGTCAGCCCAGGCTCAAAGCTGGTAAATATATTAGCCAAGACAATTCATCAACCAAGGACAATTAACTTACATTTACATCGATTGAAACATAATTTCCTTTTTTCAGGGGAAGAAAAAAATGAGCAGATATATATAATCACGTAAACATGTTGCATCGCTGAGATTAATGATTTATGCTGCCTTCATGTTTAATACACATGCATGTATAGTACAAAAAACAACGTAGATTTTTCGAATAATCATTACAAATAAACTTTATGAGTATCAATACAATATCCAAAAATAACCTTAAAATATTGTAACACGTTTCCTCCTCATCCGTTTGTATAACAGACACTCGTATAACTGACGCACAGTGGCCGCGAATAAATAACAAAACAGGTTTGGCTCTAACAAAAATTACGATTCACTGCTTATTCGGACGTAAATGACTTCTTAGAAATAATTACGAGGTTCGTGATTAGTTTTTCATGGAGCTACAGTAGAAGAAGCGCTGCGTGTTAACGAGACATGTTGCATCTGCCTCCTCGCGTGGCTTTAATAGTCCATTAATTTCTACACTTCTCGATAAATAACAATAATAAAGGTGCACTTATGGTAATAAGATAATATATCATTGCTATCATTTTTTTTTCGTTAACTCTTAAATCCGTGAAAACGGAAAGTTTTCTCGGAAAAGACCTTCGTATCCCGAGGAAGCTAATTTGTGCAAATTCCGTCTTCTCTCTGACGTGATCATAAAAAAACTTAATTTGCACAATTAAATATTTTAATATGATCACGTCAGAGCTTCGAAGATATTAAAATAATTATCTTTTAAATGGAATCAGAATCAAGCCTAACTTGGGAAAATATGAGAGTCGTAATGTGTATGAGAAGAGATTATAATTCGACGACAAGCGATAAAGTTCATCATCCAGGTTCGTGAAGCGTAATGCATGCTCGCATCCGTTCCGCATTATATCACATGGAACCCGTTCCGCATTATCAAACCGTTGTAATTCACTTGGTACCCGCAAGCGGCGGCGCCATAATCTTGCTCAATTCTTTTCTCGCATAACGTTCCGCGATCGGCGTCATAAGTAACTCACGCGTATTTCTATCGGTGGGATTTAAACAGCCATAACCGGGCTCTCTATAAATACGATCGGTATTATAGCGACGGCACCGCAGCATCCGCGGAACGATCTCAGCGATGCGCCAGCCGACTGTCCGTAGCCGCGAGTGGCAACAGTAATTACGGCGCGAGTTGAATGAATGTAACGGTAAAGCCTTTCGATTCCTTTCTTCATCTATCCGGACAGAGAGAAAGAGAGTACCCGACGCGGAACGAATCACTCGCCGAAACGCGAAACCGGATCGAACCACGATCGGAAGCGGGTTCCATCGGACAGACGTATTCATCTCGCGATATAGTTGGGCGCGCTCACACTTCAAGCCGACGATCCCTTCGGCAACTTTATCGGTATGATTAACTGCTGAAAATAAGAACATCACGTTCAAAGCACGAGAAGAGCAAATATAAAGAACGTAATTCGCTTCATGCTGACTATAAAGTAGCCTATCCGCTGATCATTTACTATATGCGTCAGCAACTAGTTTTTTTACTGTTAATTTCACGATCGTAACTACAACAATTACATATCTTAAATTCTTTAAAATTTTCTTTATTTTATTCTCTCTCCTCACTTCTCTCTCCTCACTTACAATCAACTTTTCATTTCTCAAGACTTCATCTTTGAAGCTATACTATTGTTAAAATTAAGGTCAGGAGATCTATATCAAGAAAGATTTGACAAAAAGCAAAAAATAAGACATGAGAATACGAAAATAAAAATAAAAAAGTAAAAAATAGAATAAAAATGCAAAGTGTCTAATTTATTATCTTAAATTATTATCTTTTGTAAGCAATTATATGTGCAATTCTATACACATAAATTAAAATTGATTATTTCAAAACCAGGACTGGGCGTGTATGTGAAATACTTTTATTTGAAAAACAGTATTTGTAAGACATGTATTTTGTATTTTGTATTCCAGCAGAAACACATGAAAATATTGTGTATTTTGTATTTTAAATACTGAAATTGACAATGAATCTTATTATTTGAATTATAAAATATGTAGGTACATAAAACTTTCAATTTTTTAATTTTAAATACGTATCTAATACTTTTATGTGCTCCGCTGAAATACAAAATACACTTGTATTGCAAAAACTGTGTTGTAAATAAAAGTATTTCAAATATATGCACAGCCCTGTTCAAAACTTCGTATAATAGAAAAATACTATTTTAAAACAATTCATTTAATTAGGCCTGTGCAAAACTGACTGAATCTAGATGGAACAGAGAAATTCAAATCTTTTAGAATCTTGCAATGTAAATTTTGAAAATCTGTCATTTTCTTGAAATTCTGGATAATAATAACGACGGTTTTGTGAGAGCAATGGCACACAACAGCTTGAAGAAAATGTAGGTCTGCGGGTCGTCAAATGCTCATTGACTCCGATCGATCGTATAGGCAAGGACTATTCTTCTACAATCGAGCGTATTTTCTGGTCGTTGACCGTCACCGGCCGGCAAGCTCTGTGGATTTCGCGACCACAAGTCGCTCTGCCAGGAAAAACTGGGCAAACCAGGGACAGATCATAAAAACTCACTCCGACGAGCGAAGTAATTATACGTTCGGTGGCCTCCCTCGAGTTCTCTCAGGGCGCTCCGAAACTACCAAAAATTCGTATGTGCGCCACTTTCAATACATCTTATTATTAAATATTTCGAGTGTACTTTGAATGTTGTATTTACCTTTCCTATTTTTAAGACTCCTGGATTTGGTATTAACACTACTATTATTTATACGTGATTTTAAATATACAATAATTCTTTGTTTGCTTTGAAGCAAATAAGCTCTTCGTGAATTATATGTAAAGAAATTTTTTAAAATTTCTTTTGCAAAGCAAACAAAAAATTATTTTATATTCGCTTTCCCATTGTTATTAGTAATTTTTTAAAATTATTTTTTCTCAGTGTACAAATATTTGAATGACACATATATGAATTTTTTACTAAAAATATTTAATAAAAAGTAAATGTAAGATGTTTTTCTCCAAAAGAAGTCTATTAAAAACTTGGTAAATAAACCTTTATAATAAAATAAGAATACTGTTTGTATTAATAATAATTTATGCACCTTCAGACTATTTATATCCGTTAGTAAAACGTCAAAAAATTATTAAATTATTATCATTAAAAATAATCGTGACAGGTTAATGGTAGTTTCTATCTATAAGTCAATATACTAGCTAATCCCAAGATTGATAAGAAAGTTATTCTAGATAAAACCGGATTCTGCGACTGAAACTAATTAACGGTTTTTACATCCTATCATGTCAATGAACGACACGGTATTAACGGTAGGAAATAAAAAGATCTATAGATCATCAAGATTATAATCGAACTGTCACGTAAAGATTCAGTGATATAATAATCATGAAATAACATTTCCGCGAACTGAGTCACTATCATATACACGAGAATGTTAGCTTTACACGCAAATATTTCACAAAGATATCGTAAATGATATGTTCACCAGCAATATTAACTCAGTTTTTATCCCTTTCAATAGACTCTAGAATTGAAAAGCAAACATGTCTAACCATTTGAAACATTAATCACTGTCGATTGTAGCACGCGACTTAATCCACTACTTCATTATTTCACTTTTTGTGACGACAGCATATATCAGCGCTATCGGTAAATTAATGACGTTACCGCAGATTACGGGCAAGTGAATAGACCCATATCCTAGATACATCCGCCGCAGGTGTGCGAGAGTAAGTCGTCTAATCTCACTTGTACGAAATAAGAAGTATCGTGTATAATAATGTATAATCACTATTAACCTTTGCGCTCGTGCGTTGAATTATGCTCGACATGCTCCATCGGACTTGACTGTACGTGATATCGAATATATCTTTTACAGGCTCATCTTGATCATATTTGAATGTCTAACTCAAGGCAAATATCTTTTGTAAAAAAAAAAGATTAGTATTCATACATCATTGAACGAAGCATGTCTTATCTTATATTTGAACAAAATTGTTCTATATCCATATAATTTTATGTATAGCTACTTTTTAGATTTATTACATAAACGGATGAGAAATAACATTAATAAATTAAGTTTTCAATCAATATAAATTAATTAAGTTAATGTAAATTAATTATAAATGTATCCACGTTTAATTATTAGGATCAAAGTGGAATTAATAATTATTATGTGTCCTAAATCTAATTATAATAACTGAGTATTAATAACACAGTATGTGTTATACATTGATAGAAAAGATTGGCTGCTACAGTAAATTAGATGGTAAAATATGGCATAGTATTTTTAATTGGCAGTAGCCAATTTTTAGTTGCGTTAGCCTATCCGCAATATCAGTATAGGATTTCGATAGGCTAACGCAATTAAAAATTGTTTGTTGCAACCAATTAAAAATGTCATGCCATATTCGGTCAATTTTTTCTTTCAGTGTAGTCTTACTCGGATGTAATTTTATTTTAGTGCAACTCGAGGCACGTCTACACAAAATAGAAGTATATGTCAAGTGACATATACTTCACTAACGAGAGCACTCAGTTCCGAATCCTTAAGCATGATCACCTGTTAGTATCCGTCTAGTATCGGCAATAATTGTAATAACGATAAGATAGCAATTGGACGGGATGAAATATTACTGTTTCGTCGAGGCGCAGAGTCTACACGTCGTTTTCTACGATTCAACGCCGCGTGATTCAAGATTGCCGGCGATTAGAGCACACGATCAGGCTTTAATTTAATCCTCCGGGAGTCTCTCCGATGGTCGTAAAGGGAACCGGTTGCATACGATTGGAATTTAAAAAGGAAAGCGCGCGATATCGCGGTACAACGCACACATGACGTTTTCCTTTTCCGCTCATACGCGTCGCGACGGAACGTTTTTTTTCTTCCTCGCGACTCGATGGCGGCGTAACATTTTAGATAGTGATTCTCCATGTCTAAATGGGAATTCCGTGCTAACCAATTGGCATGCAATAACCGCGTATTCACCTGCGCGTGCTACTTTATCGATATTACCAGAAGGATTGAGGTCATCGTGATTTTTGAAGACAAACGCATTTGAGAAAGCGAAAGAGCGGCAGAAACATAATCAGATGCATCGAATCTCGTAGATCAGGCGATATAAAATCAGCAAACCAAGAATATGTAGTATCGGCGACCTTCGTCGATAATCCCAAACGGCCTAGATTACAATAAAGCCATCCTGCTTGCCAATTGCAATTGATCTAGTCGCGTCACGTTCGACATAACACGCATGAGTTGCATGAGGATCAGGGACAGCATAGGCGCGACTGAAGACTAGCAATTATTCATAAGTCGCCACGACAACGCGTCACGAATTAATCCCGAGTGCGATTACATTTTAATGTCGACATGTTTGACATGTTCGATCCAACAGGTTTAGCATGTAATTTATGTGTAATAAGCGCTTATCAGCAATTTATAATTATGCATTTGTATATCATTTATAGCTAAATGCTACTGATCATTATAATGTCAAATTCTTTCTGGAGAATAAAACTATATATTTTGTCGCTACATTGCAACGTAATTGCATATCAAAATTCCAAAATCTGGAATTTAAGCTATAAGTATATAAGCTCAAACTATTATGCTATTTTATTAGAGATTACGCACGTATCTGACGAGGTACATGCGCACATTTACTTGTCTATATTCGTTAGTTACCTTCCCTTGCTCGATTCGATCAAGCGGAAACGGGGCGGTGATCGACTGTGATATACTATGATTGAACGATTATTGCAACAGTGAAAATAAAAAGTGACACGGTTCCATTTTTTCCCATTGTGCAATGTGGGAATTATCCCCTGTTTTGAAAAAACTTTCAAAATATAAATAAAATTTATTATTTTCTATAATAAATTTAGAATAAATTTAAAATAAATTAATTAGATTGTGTAAAACCATGTACCACTTCATCAATTTTTTAAATAATATATAACTTCTGCTTCATATTTTTTTTATTTTTTCCTTTCTTATTAACCTTTTTCATCATTTTATTCTTCTTATTACATCAATTATATATATAGTATACAATTTTGCTGAAATATCTGAAAATTTAGTTACATACAGATCTGAAAATAATTTTGCTGGGCATTAAAATAATTATATAAGAGCTAAGCATATAATGAGCAATACTGCAAAAAATTTGATATTTTAGTAAGTTTGAGCGTCCTACATCATTATTTTGATTACTAGTTCAACAAAATTATTTTTGAATCTGTAGCTAGCTAAATATTTAGGTACTTCAATAAAATCATTTTTTTCATGTAAGCAAAAAGAATAAAAAAGTATATAATAAGTTTAAATAAAAATTTAATAGCATGGCACACAATCTTAATGAGACAAGAACTCCTATTCGCGAATTAATTTAGATGAACGATACGGTCGATGCTTACTTCGATCTAGTGGAAGAGCAGGTATAACTTGTTATTCGAAGCGACTTGTTTCGCAGCCTATCAAGGTAGACTAGTAGAAATGGCGTAAAATGGAAAGTGACGTAATTTTAAATCTCCCTTGGATGCTGTCACGCGAGCAAGCGAAGATGATAGCTGACTCTTGCACCTGTCGTCACCTCTGCTCGAAAGAGATGCATTGACGCGATGAACATGCAAGACTGAGGGTCGAATAGAGTGATCCTGACCTTTCTCCCAAGATACATTAATACTTTCAAGGCTCGTATACATCGCGATAAGATGCTATTAAAAGGAGAGAGAAAAAGGAAAAGAGAAATAGAAATCCTATTATCTTCTGATAGAACGTAATTATCTATAGAAAATTACTTGTAAGAAATACATTTAAAGAATTATTTTATTATATATAGATATATTTTTTAATAAAAAAATTTCTAGATTGATATAATAGATATATTTGCTACTACTTGCAGATTTTTTGTGAAACAGATCCTTTGAGAAAATTTGTTTTAATACAAAATTTATTCATTTGAAATATTTTTAAAAGTTGCAAAATATTAAAAATATTTTTAGATAGCAGGAATAAGAAGGGATTATCTTCATTTCGTGTCAGAATTATACCGCGAGGAAAATATGCAGTTAAGATTCTTAACTTGTAGTAATATAAATAGTGGATCGTATTTCATATTAATTCCTTCGCGCACTGGCACTACTATCTAAATTATGTTCTTCACGATAATGCATTAACACCAAAACGATTACATTCCCGTTTGAATCCGCGATCAAACAAAGACAGATCTTGAATCTGTGGCTATAAAATTAAGAATTACCATTCACTTAATTTAGTCATCTATTATAAAAGAAACATTTTTTCATCATGGAAAGTGTCTTACCAAAGTACCTCCCTTACAGAACTCTAATACTGAAAGATAGTAATTAATTACTTATGTTAAGTATTAAAAGCACTGTTGGTCAGTACTTTTAGTACTCCAAATTAATAATTTAATTACTGTCTTTTAGTAATAAATTGGCTAGTATTAAATTGGCTAATATTAGATTTTTTTCTGTAAGGGCTGTTTGTGACAGCTAATTTGAGTTCTCGGCTTAATTGAATTATCTTATAAGACAAAATTGATAGATAATATGTGTAGATAGATCAAAACAATGTGAAATACAAATTATTGGCTCTTGCAAAATTATTATTTCTCACAATAATAAAGATACACAATAATAAAGATACATTATATATACCAAAAAGATGCGTGTATTAGTTATAGAAAGTATATGTCTTAAAATAAGCGAAAATTAAAAATTGTATTATTTGGACGTTCAAAAAGTATTCGTACAGTCGAGAAATTAAGCTCCTAAAATCAGGAATACATGCGAAGCTCGTTTGTTTATGTTACAGAATGTATTCATTGTATAAAATTATTAATTAATGTTTATTTTCTACAAATAAGGCTTTTTTATAAAAAATTCCCTTGAATACTTTTTGCACTCACTGTACGCGCGTATTGTCGTTAGTGTGTATTACGAAATGAAGAAACGGAACTGTGTCTACGGTATCGGTGTAATAACATGCGAAAGAGATTTCAGAAGATGAAGCCTAGCGAAAAAAAGGCGATACGGTTAACGGTAGAGTGTCGTGTGAGTATGCTTGTTAGTATGAACTTTAATAGTCAAGATCCTATCAAGGTGAGAAAGGATTCGCGGCATTTAATGACAACATCTATCGTTCGTCGATGCCGTTGTCATATTTCAGAGGACGTTCTTGCTTCAGTACAAGACGATTCCATCAGAACGCTTACTTCATCATTGCGAGTAGAAAAGGAAGCCTGTCATCTGTCCGATGCTGTTCGTGTAGTCATTTTTTACAGGTCAGAGATTCGTCGTCAATAATAGATGTTTATGTGAAAAATATTTTTTCTATATATATGTATATTCAGAAGATATGTAAAATTTTATATAAGCACTACGGTAATTTCGAAGTAAATTGCTAAGTCATATAATGCATTTATAATACGTACATATATATATAATAGAATTTTATATATATATATATATATATTTTTTATAAATGACAGAAATAGCATGCAAATTATTTCTATTTATAAGTTCATGTACACTGAAAAAAAATTAGCTAAATCTGAGTAAATATTTCTTTGAATAGTTACAAGTAAATATTTATTTAGAGCAAATAAATATTTGCTCAATAAAATATAATGATATTTAAATCAAATTAATGGTTCTTGTATCAAATAAATATATGTTTACATTTAGTAAATAATTTACTTAAAAAATATTTACTTAAATTTAGTTTTTTTTTGTATTGTAGATATTTATCAACGATTTTATTGTATATCGATCGATCATGACTTTCAATTTTTAAAATACGTTGATGACTACTTACACAATATCAATCGAAAAAATTCAAGGCTTAAGATTTCGGGTGGTTTATACATTTATGAAAAGTGATTGCATTATAATTTCGCTATTATATAAATATGACACAGAATACAATGCATAAAAAATTTAATGTTCATGTGTATTTTCAATCTTTATAAAATATTATTTTATTAGTTATAGCTAAAATATTCAAATTATTATTCAAATTATCAAAAAAAGCATCCCTCATAAAAGAAATAAGATCCATTACAGCTTTTGAAATAACCTTGTATAGTGTGCGTAAAACGCGGTGGTCGGTCGTACGAAACCTATTATCAGCGCGTAAAGGGAAAGAGAGAGAGAGAATTGCGATAAGTTGCGCTCGTTTGGCTCGATTGCCGAAAATAAAGAAGAGATCAATTTTTTGTTTCCATATTAACGGAACGGCGTTCCTGATGCTAACCCCGAGGAGCCTCTCCGTAGTATTAGCCAAAGGGTAGGGGACCGTACATATAAAGGAGAGAGCCCCATGCTCCGGGGGCCCAGTACCGTTCAAAGATGCAGGCTGCCGGGACGCTGCGTGGTACCAGGGCTATCTCCCTTTTGATACTCCTGGTACCTCTCATTAGCTATGCCTGTGAGTAAAAACAACGTTCAAGATTCCCGCCCGGACGAGTAATGATATGTGATAACATGCAACCGCATTGTGGAGGATTAGTGCTGTGCAGTGCAATTTAGGATTATAGCTATAGTGTGCTATTTCCAAGATTTTAAAAAACGCGAATAATAAATTTTAAGAGCATAATAAATATTTTAAAAACTATCACATAAATTACGAATTTTCGTAAATTACAAAATAATTCAAGGACAATCTTTTAATTATTACTATATTTTAATTGTATGCAAGTAAAATAATATATCAATTAAATATTAATGAAATAAAAATTTCAATTTTTTTAATTATAAAATTATTAAGTCAATTGACAATATTAATAAGACTCAATAAATTATAAATTAGTAAAAGTAATAGGGCTACGAGTCTGATAATCTAAGTTTATAAAAATAGATGGTATGTGAAGTAAATAAAACGAAGAAGTACAACAATACAATATATAATCTTTCGCGCAAATATAAAAGCAATAACAGACGTACGTTTCGGTCAAACTCAGACCATTATCAATGTTTAAAACG